GGCCCCCGGGAGTGTCCTCCATTAGGAGGCACAAAATATGGTAACCCTAGTCTTAGCCCCACTGTGCCACTGGCCGGGAGCCACCTGAGGTAAGCGCTGTCTGGCCGGAGCCTGCACCCACTCACTCACTCCAGCCCCCTTCCCCAGCCTTGAGCCCCCTGCAGCCAAACTCCCTCCCGGAGCCCACACCCTGCACACCCTTCTGCACCCCAGCCCTGAGCCCCTTCCCACACCCTGAACCCCTCATTTATGGCCCCACCCCAGAGCCTGCACCTCCAGCTGGAGTCCTCCCTCCCACACCCCTATCCACTGCCTCAGTCCAGTGAAAGTGAGTGAGGGTGGGCGAGAGCAAGTGACGGAGGGAGGGGGGCTGGAGTGAGTGGGAGCAGGGCCTCAGAGAAGGGATGGGGCCTCAGGGCAAGGCACAGGCAAGGGTGTTCGGTTTTGTGTAATTAGAAAGTTGGCAACACTTGCCGGTCCCTGCCATGGGGCCGGATCAGAGCTGGCGCCTCCTAGAGGGGACAGGCCCCTGCCCCATTCCCTGCCCCCCTGAGCCAGCCAGTCCCTGCCCTGGGGCCGGATGGGAGCCAGCGCCCCCTAGAGGGGACAAGCCCTATGCCCCATTCCCTGCCCCCCTGAGCCAGCCACTCCCTGGTGCTCACGCTCTAGCTCAGGGTCTCTCTCCAGGACTGTGGGGGCGTCACCGGGGCCGTCCCAGCTCCCTGCACTCACGGCTCATGGGGCACCAGGGGCAGGGGCCACGAACAGCCCTCGGCAAAGGAGCTGCCCTGGGCCCCCAGCCTGGGGGGTGTGAACTGCCCGGGCCCCCTGCCCTGCAGAGCCCTGGCCCGGCTGACTGGCTCCCCAGAGCCCTCCAGGGGCTGGGAGGGGATCTGAGTGGAGGCTCTCGATCTCTAGGGAAGTGGTCTCCAACCTTTTTACGCCCAAGATCACTTTTTGAATCTAAGGATTTATCCCACCCCTTCCCCAAGGCCCCGCCCCTTCCTCAAAGTCCCGCCCTGCTCACTCCATCCCCCCCCACCCCCCCGCAACCTCACTCACTTTCACCAGGCTGGGGCAGGGTGTTGGGGTTCGGGAGGGGGTGCAGACTCTGGGCTGGGGCCAAGGGGTTCGCAGTGTGAGAGTGGGCTCTGGGCTGAGCCTGGGGCAGGGGGTTGGGGTGGAGGAAGGGGTGCAAGCGTTAGGAGGGAGTTTGGGTTCAGGAGGCGGCTCTGGGCTGGGGCAGAGTGTTGGGGTGCAGAAGGGGATATGGGGTGTAGGCTCCAGGAGGGGGCTCAGGGATGGGGGTTGGGATGCAGCGTCCCACTGGGCAGCACTTACCTCCGGTGGCTCCCTGCCTGCCCCGGCCCCACACCGCTCCCAGAAGGGAGCGACGTGCCCTGTGGTGGGAAGGGCGGGGGTCACGTGGCTCCGTGAGCTGCCCCTCCTCTGCAAGCACTGCCCCACAACTCTCCCGGCCAATGGGAGCTGCGGTGGCGGTGCTTGCAGGCAGCAGCAGCGCGGGGAGGGAGACCCCTGCCCCCGCCCCCGCGGGTCTGCGCTGGCCACTTCCAGGAGCGGTGTGGGGCCCATGTGAGGAGGGAAGGGCCCACTGGGGACCAAGGTGGAGAGGGAGAGCCTGGCAGGGAAGGTACCGTACCGTTCCGGGCCTTTGTGTGGTTGGTGCTCTCAATCAGGATCTCCAGGTTCTTCTTGCTTATGGCCATGCTGCCCAGGGCGCCCTGCGCCTCGAAGCTGGCGAACTTGCTGAATTCGGGCAGGCGCCAGACAGTCTCCTTCCTCTCCAGGTCCACATAGAACACCTCGTCCTGGTCGAACCCCTGCATGTACTGCCCGGACAGCTGCTGGGCCTGGTCCGTTCTGTGGTAAAACTGCGCCTGGGAGAGCACGTGGTCCACTGTGGAGAGACAGGCATCAGCAGCAGCCCAAACTCCAGCCCTCTCCTGCCCCCGGAGGGGGTCTCTGAGCACTTCCCCTAAAGCCGCAGCCCCCGCAGCTTCCAGGGAGTGACATTGGCACTAGGACTCCTCTCCCCCATGTGAGGGGAAAGCAGCCGCAGGGAGCCCAGTGACCCCTGGCGTCACGCTGGTGCGCTGGGGTCAGCGCTGCCTGGAGGGGACAGCGCCCCCCACTCATTGTTCTCTACAGGTCTCCCATCCATGTAGTGGCCAGGCCTCTACCCACTTAGCTAGTGAAGCAGAAACGTGACCCCAGTCCAGGCCACTGTGTGTGTGGTGAAGTTGGGGGCTGCGGCTGCCGGACATCCCATTCTCCTGTCTGTGCGTGGGGCTGGTTCCATGTCCCGGTGTCGCCATGACCTGGTTCTCGGGCGATTTCGGTCCCTGGCCCCCGACACTCACACCCCAGGGCCGGTCACTGGGAGACCCGGGAACTCCCCAGCCAGAGACATGAAAGCTGCGCTGGGGGCAGGGCCAGCTCTACCCTTTTTGCCGCCCCAAGCGGCGAAGCAAAGAAGAAAAAATAAAAAAGCTGCCGCCAAAGCGCCGCCCCAAGAACTGCCGGAGGCCGCCCCTGCAGATTGGCCGCCCCAGGCACCTCCTTCCTTAGCTGGTGCCTAGAGCTGGCCCTGACTGGGGGGTCAGACACACTCCGGGAGGGGGAGGGGTCTGGCTGGGGGCTGAGGCTGGGAGTCCCCAGGGCCCAAGGGAGTTGGGCACCTACATCCTAGGGAGTCGTTCGCTGACCCCAGCTTGTGTGACAATGCGGTTCTGGCGGGACCCAACTGAGAGCGCCAACTCAGGACAAATTGCTCAAATAGGGCAGTTACAGCCCAAGGCTGGGGTTTTTCCACCTCTAAGGCAAACCAAACCAGCCAGACTAGGAGAACTTCGGTCTCACCCCACTGGCTAACCGCAAGTCTCTCAAGCAATCTCCTTAGACACTCCAGTTTCCCAGTATTACCACCAGTGCCACTCGTTATGGGGACAAATGGTTATAAAAACCAATACCCCAGTAAAAGAAAAAGGTTCTCCTGATCCCAAAGGACCAAGCCCCAGACCCAGGTCAATATA